TTAAAACTCACACAGTGTATAACCTACAAATGCTATAAAACAGGACTCTCTAAAAATTTCAAAATTAAATAATTGAAATGCGACTTTGTTGCATAATTCTTTTAATACTCCTTTGTGAAACACAATTAGCTGTATCATAAAAAGTAGAGGATGTTAAAAAAATTATTAAAAAAAAATGTCCAATTCGAAGAATAAAATAAAATAAATAAAATCGGACGCTTTATTCCACCTCGTGGATGATAATACACTCGGTGAAATAAAGCGTCAGATTTACACTTAAACTCGTCGAATAAATAAATAACTATTTTTTAGAAAATTTTGGTTTTTTGTTATGAAGCAGGTAGGCAAAGGGTGGCCCCCCTTGTAGTTACGTGCCTGTGTTTACATAAAATAGTCGCGAGTTTATGACACTTCAAACAGTATTTTAGTACATAACAATAGTCTTCAAAATAATAAAACAAGCTAATGAATGCCAAATAATATTATTTCTTTTAGCACCAGACTTGCATATCATACTAAGACTAATTCTATCACAAAAATTAGTTAATATTACCAAACTGTCATTACTTAACAGATTTGAGTCTAGAACTAGAAACTTTACTCCATAATCTTCTTTGAAAACATCTTCTGAAATATTGACTATTTGATTAGACGCCACATTTATATTTTTAATTATGTGATTCTTCAAAAATTCAGATGAAAATTCATTTAGTTTGTTTCCAAAAAGATTTATATTCTGTATATAAAAAGCGGCTCCATTTAAGGCTTCCTTATCAATACTAACAATGTTGTTGTTTCCAATATCTATATAAGAATCGTTTTGTTCAAGAAAAGATAAACAAACAGTTTTTTTCTAGTTTTGAAATATTATTATGATTAATCATAAAATAAGATAAATTTGGTAAGCGAACAAATGAATGAGGATTTAACTGAGTTATGTAATTGTTGTACAAATTAAGCGTTTTTAGATTTATTAAGTCCACAAAAGCTTCATTTTCTATTGTTGTGATCAAATCGTAGTATAACAAGATATTCGCCACTGGAAGATTCTGAAAGGTATGTTTCCTAATTGTACTTATTTTGTTATTTTTTATGTAGATGTATTCGGTAATGTTGACATTTTCAAGAAATTTGGTTTCAATCTGTGTAATATTCCCCATAACAACGAATAATACTTCAATATTACTCGCAAAGTTAAACATTTTGTTACACAAAACAGTATTTGAATTTGGTTTTATTGTAATAGTATACGTATCATTTAGTGTTGTAATAACAGTATCTTCCCGAATCGAAGAATCTTTTTCTTCATTTTCATAGTACGTTATAGGTGTTATGTTAACTTTGTCACACACTAAATCTGCTTTATTTTTAGCAAGAAGAGAAAACACAACAACTTGAAAGAACAGCATTGTGATTGATGATGAATTTTAACACAGTTGTGCCTACGCTTTCGTAATTGAACATGTTATAAAGTATTAAATTTTTCATTTATTATGAAAGATTGCCTAAAAAACTATTTATTTCAAAATATTCAGGTTGTAAATGTACTAAAATTTCAAAATATGGAAAAGTACTTAAAATTGAATCACGCAAAACTTTGTGTTATAAGAAGAAAAAAAAAAAATAAAAAATAAAATTAAAACAAAAAAAATCAATTAAAAAAAATTGACAATTAAACACAAAAGACTTTATCTTCTTATTCTTGTCTTATTTTATGAGGGACAATTGTTTTTTGTACATATTTTTAAATAATTAGCATGAAAATACTTAATATGAAACCTGAACACAAAAAAAACAAAAACAAAAAACAATCATCCCTTCTAAAATAAAGCAAGAACAACAAGAAAAGCTTTTTGTATAAAACTTTCTACAGCTGTTTTAATAATCATAATAATAATAATAATAATACTACTAAGAAAGCGGCTTTATTGAATTGTAAGTACAAGTAAATACAATGAGGCGAGGTTTAGCAACTACTATTCGTACTTAACCCCCTTAACAAAAAAAATAAGAAATAATAACAAGAAACAGAAAAGTAAATAAATACAAAATGAAAAAATAAGCAAAAAAAGTAAAATAAAAAATTTTAACAAAAAAAATTAAAAATTTGAACAAAAAAAAATAAAAAAAAGTTTAACTAAAATTAAGAAAAGAAGAAACTTAAGAAGAAATACAGGAAATAAAACAATAAGAAAATAACAAAAAGCAAAAGTAAAAAACTATTATTTTCTTTTCTTCTCTTTTGTCATTTTTTTTGCTTTATTTTTTTGAAATCTATCCAAACAGTACTAAAAATACAGTAATAAAAAATGTCGATTGACATTAAAAAAATATAAAAATGACCTCATTACTCGAAAACGAATAACGTCATAAATGTCATTAGAGTGTCAAAATGTTGCATTTAAAAAAATAAAATCGACCTGTTTGAGGATGTTTTTGAAAAATGTCTCATAACAATGATATGAGTTGATATGATGTGACAGTTGACAAGTTTTTTTTAATTACAATTAACTGGGATAACGAGTCTTCTCTAATAACAAAATATAAGAAATAGATTTGCATAATGAATAGAATACATAAGTGATACGTGCAGAAATTGTATACCTACATCATAGATGTAATTGCAATAATAGCAATTACAGTTTTTACCAAAGAATGTTTAAACATGTTGCTTGTTTTGAGTTTAACAATGGATAAAACTCTGCACTGCGAAACTTTCTTGGTGACACTTTTACAGTTTATAAGGATTGGAAAACAGAGCAGTTACTTCGAAATTATACATACAGGCTGCGCCAGAACTCGCGCCCCAGAAAATAAAAGCATATAAGGTAAGATACCAGCAGTGGCGTAACTAGAAAATTTGGGCCACCCCCGCGAAAGACGTCTGTTGGGCCCCTCTCTTCTTTGGTTTCGGAGAAGAGAGTAATATAAAGTATAAGAAGAAACTAAAAAATGCAATCTTTGTAGATTATACATACAGGGTGTCAATTTTAAAACTTGTAATCGGCAAAATCTGTACAACTAAAAAAATTATTGAGAATCAATAGAAAACCGTTTCGGTGGTTTTCAGGGGGAATCAAAATAGCATGCATATTATATAATATAGCATATTTGGTAAAACCATTTTTCTAATTATTCAAAAACGGAGACGTTAAATTTTCATTTTTTTTTTATTATATTCAAGGGTGGGTGGAGGTGTGTCACTTATGTCATTTTAATTCCCCCCAGGAACCACCAAAACGGTTTTGAGTGATTATTAATAGCTTTTTCAGTTGAGAGAAATTGCCGATTGCAAGTTTTAAAATTGACACAGTGTATAACCTACAAACAGGACTATCTAAAAATTTTAAAATTAAATAATTGAAATGCGACTTTGTTGCACAATTCTTTTAATACTCCTTTGTGAAACACAATTAGTTGTATCATAAAAAGTAGAGGATGTTAAAAAATTATTTAAAAAAATGTTGAGACTAATTCGAAGAATAAAATGTTGTATTCAAAACGTTTGAGTGTAAATCGGACGCTTTATTCCATCTCATGGATGATAATAATCCACTCGGTGAAATAAAGCATCGGATTTACATTCAAACCGTCGAATAAATAACTATCTTTTAGAAAATTTCGTTTTTTTGTTATGAAGTAGGTGGGAAAAAGGGTGCCCCCCCTGTAGTTACGTGCCTATGTTTACATAAAATAGTCGCGAGTTTAAACACTAAACAGTATTTAAATACATAATAATAGTCTTCAAAATAATAAAACAAGCTAATGAATGCCAAATAATATTATTTCTTTTAGCACCAGACTTGCATATGATACTAAGACTAATTCTATCGCAAAAATTAGTTAATATTACCAAACTATCATTACTTAACGGATTTGAGCCTACAACCAGAAGCTTTATTCCATAATCTTCTTTGAAAACATCTT